TCCAGATTCATGAGCAGCTCCAAAATAAAATGTTTTCTAATACAAGCGGGAGCATCCGCCTGAACCGATTAAGTAAGTGTCTTGAGCAGAAATTTTCCCAGGGGTGGAAGGAAAGAGAGAAATCCTGGCAACGTGGACAGAAATATTTGGCAGTTAAATCACAGCAGGAATCCCTGGAGCAACTCAAAAAATTCACTCGTCCAAAAATAACTTTTGTATCACTATTCAAGGGTCTGTTATTTAAGAAACACATCTGTTTCCTATCCTGTGAACTTAATTAGATTAACACAGGAGTGTATGAGTGTTTAAGTGAACAGTAGAGCTGCACGCTCTGCAAATATCCTTTGCTAAAGTTTAGGTGTGCTCACACCACTTTTGCTGCAACTCAATCTTGCAATCAGACATGTGCTGCAAGGATAACGCAGCTAAAGAAGGTCACATCCAGACCTCAATTCTATTAACATTCCATTTTAACAGGCATTTCAATCCACACACCAAATGCCCATGCGGCATGCTGTCTTTGTTTTATGCGTCAGCTCTATTTTTTTCACTTGTGCATGAGTGATGCATAAATTCAATAAAAATCCAAATAAATCATAAAAGCACGCTTTCTATACACAGTGCACTTTTCAAAATCATAACCTATAAAGATGTCATGATTAGGCAGGCTGTAGCTGCGTAAGCAAACTATGATACTATGATGCACTAACATGGGGATATAAAATAAATACAGTAGACTTTCACACTGTCCCCTTTCACATCAGTTTCAGATTCAAGTTTCAATTTTATTAAAAAAAAACACTGACGCATGACACACAATGTAACATGCATACAAGAGAAGACCTAGCCAAAACTTGTAAAACTAATGATTTCATATAAAATGAAATAAATATATTTTTAGGGGCATGGTTTTGTAAGTATAGCTGGCAGATACGACGCTTAGTAACGATACCTTGATCGTAAACAAGACTAGCAACGTGACTACTGCTTCCCTCTTCTTTAGGTTTTTGGGCACTTTACATCCAGTCTGTTGTATTAGCATCCTCTTCATTCAGTTTGGTGAAAAACGTAAGTTTTTGAAATTATAATCGAAATATCTCAAATGTAAATATCACGATTGCAAGGGCTTGGGATAACTGAATGATTTTACTACTTCAAAAAGTTATGAGAAGTCAAAGGTTTAGGGTGATGCAGATAGCAGACAATGCTTTCTTTTCCTCAAAAGAACATGAAACGTGTATAAATATATTTATAAATATAATCTAAATTGATTTTAAACACTTATAGCATTGTCGTAACGGATATTGCATTATTTAAGAAGTCACATCGCATTTTTCTTCAATACCGTGCAGCTTTACTATGCACCTACTATCATGAAGCATGGAGTAGATTTCCTCATCATGCTCTTATTAATTATTGTATAATCCCGGGATATTCATACAGGAAACTAAGGAAGTAATGAGTAATGGGTGAGTACAATTAGTAAACGGGAGTCGTGGTTGTCGGCGGGGGATGCTGGGAATTGGAGCTCTTGGTGGAAGTGATGCAACCTAAGTAGGTAGCTCTGGAGCTTGGCTTATTCCATTAATTATTAAAAATTAAATAGCTACTATCTCTATCAAAATAGACATCATGGTAACTGATAATCGAATACTCGACTTGCCAAACCAGACTAAAATCAAAGCACGCTGTTGCTCCAGACACGTCTGGTGTGGACTGACTGAGGTCTTGACGAGATGCTTGACATGACATGTCCGGTGTGAATCTGGGGTTTGTCTCAGACATTCCAATCATCCTTTAGCCCTTTTATGTATGGTGTCCATGCTCGTGAGCTGTTAAATTAAAGCTGTTTTTAGAAAAGTATAAGATGTAAATCACCTCCACGTTTTACCACTCTGATTTTATTTAGACCTTTATCCTGATTTTTCCTAATTCCTAATCCAGCATTGCTGATTGTCACTGATACAGCACTGTCTTGTGCATTTCTGTCTTGATTAAACCTTCTGTACTAAAAGACTGCAACAAGCTTTACACAAACTTCACAAATTACAGGTACAGTATTTCTCAGCAGTCATCTTTGTACCCATTTCTGCTTTCACTTGATGGCAGATAACTTCAGTTAAATTTTTAATATAAGTCATTTTTAGAAAAAGTCACACGTTACTGATATATACAGTATTTTATAATAATTTGTGTGTGAAAGGGTTAAAGGGACCCTTTTTCAGTATCCCATCCAAATTAGTGCTGAGCTAGCTAGCTGTCTAGGATGCGTGGCCTTGTTTTTAGCGAGGACAAACCCTGATTCCTCACCATCTCTAAAACTCACACATCAAACACTATTTTACACATTCCACTGACAGATAAGGTGAGTAGGAGGTATGTAACACAGTAATGGAAGTGCTAGAAATTGAATGAACCTGATACATTTTTGTCTGATCTCTTATCCCGTCTACGTGTGAAAACAGATTTTTTTTTTTCAGCCGAAATGCTGCGGAACATC